AATGAATTATAACTTATATATACTATTTTAACACGTAAATTCAACAGAAGAGTTTTTAATTGGACATGTTATCGTGTTTTCGATTCTTAATCAGTGAGTTGTTTAACTAAAAAAAAAAGGCTAGGCACAGAGAATAGTAATTTTGTAGAAGTAGGACAAAGTAATTTATTTTCGTATGCAATATAGCGACTGTATTACTGCTACAGCAAAACTGCGTGTTTAGTTTCCTCTTGCCTGTAAGTATAATTTTATGCAGGTTAAAAGTTACAATAAGATGTCATATAGAAATTCTTGTAAATATTAATTTAAAACACTTAAGTTCTATGATGATATGACTTATGTGGTGCTGCTACTACTTTACTAGTATAATTTTTCTTCCTTATAAATAATTCCTTCCTTGATATATGAAACTTTATATTATTCTTATTCTAATTATATTAATTAACACGTGATAGGCTTCAAACAGCTGAATATGGTTGTAATATTACTGTTATTAACACTTGTAGCATTTCATGTTCTAAATGTTTTTATATACCATGTTGTAATTTGTAGATGTGTAGGCCTAAGTAGGAATAGCGAAACACCTTTTGTCAGTTATCATTCTTACCTTGCAGAAATGTATTTAGTTTTTGACAAATGTACAATAGACTGTTCAGAATTCCAGAGCTTAAGTACTTAAAGTGGTATTTATTAGAGTCTTTATTATAACTGGCTCATACATTGTCAAAGAATAGTAATAGTAAGAGAGTATTTTTTATTAGCTTGATTTTAAGTTGAGACATTTTAGCTCCAACATCATGTATCAGTTGTAAGGAGTGGTTGTCAGTGTTATTATATTGATCTACCTACATTTGAGATATCTTAATATAGACAAGGGCAGCACCAGCCTCTTCCCTCTGAGGGAAAAAAATTGAGGAGGCTGTACATCTTATTGCCACACATACTGTAGTTCATCTTTACCAAGAGGCACTTTTCATTGAGTGCAGGGGGAAATTAAGACACATCATTGGGTAGCTTGAGCCCCAACAAGCCCCCCCCCCCTACTACCACTGCCCCTAAATAAAGGACAGAGTTAAGTGACTAAAATACCAGTTTGAATCTAGAGGAAAGTGTAAATTTTTATTCTAGTTCTGGAAATCAGATAGAGCTCAGTCCTTTTGTACTCTGTATCATAGTAAATGTATAGGGTTTAGGTACAAGATACTGAAATTTTCCTAATTTCGAATATACTGTGCTAGCTAGTATGAAAAGTATTTCCGTTTGTTAGTAATTCACATACAAATTTATTTCAAGGGCTAACTGGTTTATATCCATTTTTCATACACCCCTGTGGGAGCATTTTTTAAAACATTTGGGTGGGTGGAATGCTAGTTAAATTATCAGCTCTTACTAAAATATCAAGATGTAAACAGAAATATCTTTTAACATTTAGAATATAGTTTTTACAACTTGACATTTTTAGTTACTAATGTCTTGCTAGTTTTTCTAAACTTGTGCCTTTTAAATATCTCAACTGAGATTTTTTAAGTGCTGAAGTGTTATTTTAAAGGGAAAATTATGAAAAGGGTGTCTGTACTTTTTTATATTATTTGAAAGTGTTTAATGCTTTTTGTCTTCATTACTGTTTTTTGTTTATATTTAATAATGAAAATTTGTATCAAAGCATTGTTTCATTTATATTGTTTGTATTGATTTTTTAACTTCTTTTTTTAAAGAAATGTGTACAAAAATCTGGCTTATTCACTGAACAAGAGGAAGCATTTTGAATTCTTCTAGTTTACTGTATGATTTGACTCACCGATAGCACACTATTATAGACTTGTACATACTAATCCTAAGATGTAGTAAACATGAAGTCAGTCTGAGACATTTATATCACCATAATGTTTGTGGTTTAGGTATTTGTTCAAATAGCAAATGCCTGAAAATGAGTAGAATTTCCTAATATATATATATATATATATATATATATATATTCTTTTTCTGCCTACTGTTCTTTTGTTTGGGGAATAATCTTTCAGCTTAGACAAAAAATTTTAATTCAAAATTTATTGAAATTCTGATTAGTGTTTTAGTACCTGTAAATTCAGTGGAAATAAAGGTTGTTTTTCTTACAATTAAAATTTTTGCAAGGTTTTGTTTCCTTACAACAGCTTATGACACACACACACTATCATAACTATACCAAAAGCCAAATGGGGAGAAAATATAACTTTTTTTTAGAAGTTAGCTAATATTTTTATTAAAATGTTTTATATTTGAGGTTAATTACTTAATGATCATCAGATAACTCTCTGATTTCTGGTAAAGCTAATTAACTATACTAAAAGAAGTATATGGTTTCAGAATTAAATGAAAAAATGTCTGTAAATTACAGTGAAACTTGTCATACCTCCATTTGTGTGTGTTATTTATAAAGACTTACTGTAGAAAAGGATAATTAATACAATGAATTGGTTACTGTTATAGAGTATGAAAATAAATGTTTTTATAACTGCAACATGGTATTATGCTTAATGATTAATGTTCTTATGAGAGAATCATTCATTCTAGAGCTGAATGGAATTATTTGGACACCATGTGAGTTTCAAACAACATCTTTTAAGGATTTCTTTTATTCAATATACTTATAGATTCCATAAATAAAACAAGTTTTATTCCATCAAATAAAATCCGTGATTAACAGAATTTGGCTTGTACTTAATAACCAGGCATTTAATTAAGATTAGATTAGTGAATACACTTTGCTCCGTCAGATGTTGTGGTTGTTAATTTACAAGCAATTGGGAAAAGTTTATTGCAGATCTGTTGAACATATAAAGATACAATTCCCTTTGCTTGGTCCAGGTTGCATGTAGGAATTAAGTTCTAGTAAAACTATTAGGTAAACTTCTGGACAGTTTCATGTAACACACACTAGACAGATTTTTTTGAATAAAGAATCTAATAATTTATGGTAATAAATTTGTGAATTTTACCAGTGATTTTGTTTGATCATCAACTACCTGTTTTCAGGTTTTCTTGTTATTTTCATTTTGAAAAATATGTCATCTCATGGTTGATATTGTTATCACACATTTTAATAAAAATTTACTTTTTTTTAAACAAGTATACATTGTCTTAATAATGATAACCTGTTATTTTATATTCATATTCCAAGTAGTTCACATATCCCTTAAAAAGTAACTTAGAATTATCATGATATTTTTATTAGAGTAGAGGAAGCTGCTCTTGTTTTAATTATTGGAGTGTGTTAAGATGGATCTTATTCATGTATTTGTTTGTCAGTTTATACATATGATTGTTCCTAAATGATTGACTACCATTCCATTAAACTATATAACTAATCTTCATACCAAATTCATGCCTGATTTGTAACTGATTCATTAAGAATTTTAAAGAATGAACTAAAAACTCATGAAAATTGTTCAATATGTAACAATGAAAATACATATTGTTTTAATAAATATAAAAAGTGACATATCACCTAAAAGTTGTTTTTCCATAAAAGAAAATTGAAAATATATTTTGACCTTTATGCATTTTTGTCTGCTCTGAGTTATTTATCTAAATATTAGAAACACAATTTTAATTTAAATAAACAATACAGGTTTGTACTGTTTGTTTTTTCCCAACATTAAAGGTACTTTGCAGCAAAGTAAAAATACATTCTTTTTAATGAAACTTTGAAGAAAACCAAGATAAAGAACATCTGAAAGAAATTGTGAGGTCTTTTGAAATGTCATCTTTTTCTTTCTATGCTACTTCTGTAGATTAGTTCTCCAAGGTTTTCTCTACAAGTATCATACTGAATTAAACAACTGCTGCCCATTTCACCTTTGTTCATTGGCAGGAATTTATGTTTAAAAATCTTTTAAGCCTCAAATAAAGTTTTGGGGCCCGAAAGACAACTTGGGGTGGTTGTTATTGATATTTTTACACTTTTAAATACCGTAAGAAAATGTTGGTTGTAATTTCAGAGTGCTCAACAGTTTGTGTGAAAATGTGTTTTATATAAATTAAGTTAGTGATTCACAAAAATTTTTTGTTGTATTCTAGCCATATGGAGGAGGTGGATTTGAAGATGATGCACCCAGGTATGCATCACCTAAACCAGGCCTTTATGGAGGAGAATCCTATTTTATGGGTAAATTTGATTTAATTAACTCTTATGTATAGTGGAAAGGTTTGGAATTTTTATGTATAAATTATGAAAAAAAAGTTTATTTTAACTTTGAGAAGAAAGTTCTTCTTCAAGCTTAAGAAAATATTAACACCAGGTAATATGGGGTCATGGTGATGTTCTAGGGTCATCAAAAAATTAATGTCACTTTTTTTTTAGATGAAAAAACCCAAACAAAACATTTATTAAATGATTCTTAATCTTATCGATGATGCTTTTCCACCATACAATCAGGTTGTTAATGCCCTGATTAAAGAAATCACTTGGCTTTGAAGCAAAAAACATCGATGTACTCTTTAACACCTTTCATATTTGCATACGTTTTCCCATTAAGATGGTGTTGCAGTGAACAAAAAAGATGGTGATCTGATGGTGCCATATCTGGAGAATATGGTGGGTGGGGGGAGAACGTCCCAACTCATTAATCTTGTGTTGCATCAAATGTGCCACATGTGGACGTGCATTGTCGTAGAGAGAATGAACACCTTTCCGATTGACGAGAGAAGGGCGTTTCTGATGAAGGGCTTGATTTAAATATTCCAGTTGCTGACTATAAATCTCTGCATTGACAGTTCACTGTGGATTGAGGAGTTTGAAATTAATTTCTCCTTTGATGTCCCACCAAATGCAAAGCATCACTTTCTGTGGATGGAGTCCAGGTTTTGGGGTTGGAAGTGGTTTTTATCTGGGACTGAGCCATTGTTTTTGGCATTTAATATTTGTATAGAGAATCCATTTTTCATCACCGGTGACAATTCTGTCTAAAATTTCTCCATTGATGTCCCACCAAATGCAAAGCATCACTTTCTGTAGTTACATCCAAGCAACAAATATAAGTGGAACGATAGTTTCTCCAGGCCTAGGAAATATGTATTATCATGATAAAAGCAAGCAAGTCCACGTTAGGTCGGTTTTAACGATCATATTAGGTCTTAGTTTGAAGAGCATATAGAATACGCCTAAAAGCGTATATTTAGCATGAATATCACACTCCTATCAATTTTGAAAATAAAACTATTTTATTAAATCAATAAATTCTACAAAAATGGGTGCATTTAACATGATATTACATTTGAGTGTCTGATGTATACAATGAAACAGAAATAAATATTATACTGATGAGGACGAATATTGAATAGAATGAATGATTATGTTATGATGAAGATGCGTAACGTGTGAATGATGAAGTTTGGTTGACGAGTGTTTGTCACACTGAAAATATGGTGTGCATTGAGACAGCAACCAATAGATATTGACACATGTTTATAAGGTTTTTAACACCATTACTTCAAGAGTATGTCCCCGATAGTTTAAACCCCCTAACTACACCAAAGCAGTCGGATCAGTCGTTGCCCCACATATCACCTGATGCTAATACATTTTACGGGCAGCCTTTTTGATATATCTAAGAAACTCGGCGGACTGTCCACAAGTGGATACCACTGTGTTACTGGTTGTCGTGGCGTGTCCAACATTTCCAGCCAGTGATCTCGTCCCAAACCAATACACCGACTGCCTATAGCACAGCAGCCCAACATTTCGTTGGCTCCAACTCTGTCAAATTAAATCAAAATTACTTTATTAATAAAACATAATGATTACTTCGTCAACATATACTTATGGATTTAACTTATTTTACAGCGTAACCTAGGAACGAAGACACAAAATGTGATATGTTTGTAATCCATCATTTTTTTCACTCACATTTTTCAGGTGTAGTTTGATAGAAAAAAAAATTAACTCATTTGTATCTTAAATATTGATATTTTTATGGTCTTAAACCCGACAACTGAAGTTCACAGCTCTTGAGATATTTTAAGTCCTAATTTCAAGCTAACTTTCATATTGGACCAAATGAGTCATTCAAAAATTCATATAATATTAGGATATTGACAGTAAAGTAAGAAGGTTTTCACGTTATAATACCAAAAATGCACGGAATATTTACTTATACGTATTTTTAGAAGAAACTTACCTGTCATAGTCTACAACTTTAACCAGTAGGTTAACGTCCTCAATGTTTTCTGCTGGCACATCAAAAACTAGCACTTCATTATATACAGGATTCAGAGTTGACTTCTTCACAGTTGTCTTCTTTTTCTTGACCCTCTTTTCTTGGCAAATGAGGGAGACTTTAACATATGGATCTGCTTATGTTAAACGCAGAGGAAAAAGGAAGATTTTGAATTATTGCACCAATTCAGAGAAAAGAACTGGCAAGGAAAAACAACAACAACACTATATTCAAACTTTATACTGTTTTTTTTAGTCATGAGAAAGATATAAAATATTAAAAACTGGAGGAGAAAGTTTTTATTTTACAGGAATGACATTTAAAGTACGAAAATTAAAAAAATCAAGGATGATCAATGTTCTTTAATACTAAAAATAAATGTTTTGAAAAATGTTAATAAAATACAAAAAGTCATCTTAAGTTGAACTGGTGAAACAATGACAGAAGAAATACAAGTTCATAGGGAATTAACAGAAGAATTGGTAATACTCATAAGTTATGTTAACATTGTAAGATAGCATAACATGTATTAATAGCAATATAGGAAAGTTGACACAACCGAATTATGGTAGCTGACGTGATCACGTAAATGGCATGCAATCAGCAATGTTTGAATGTGTTTCATACAAGTTATTACCTGTATGCATATTCATTCTAGTTTAAATGATGTTTCTCCTCTTTTGCAGGGGAGAATTGTCTCTGATTTATATACATATAAAGTTAGAACATTAATGGTTCATTCAGAAAATCCATTGATAACGCTTATACTAAATGAAAATAAACAGAATATGTCTGAAAAAAGTAGACTTACCCGAAGAGCCTGTGATGTCCATGGCTTTCAGGTTTCTTGCCTTCATGATTGTGACGGTTAGTCTACCAGCAGTTGGCAAGTAACACAATGATAACATCAACTCTCCAAGGTTTTCTTTGTCCTTATTAAAATAAAACAAAAAAGGACTTTTTTATAAAACACTTTATAACAACGTTTTGGAACACTTTCATTACCCCCACCCCCAAACGTACATCACGTATAATAGTTAAATGACTCGCCCAAACGTCACATTCGTGTAGCTTATATAATGTGTAAAGTTTAGTATACTCTAACCCCTTATAGTGTTGGCACACCAGGAGACACACATTCCGCATGTAATGATGTTTGAAGACTAGAAGGGAAACAACGCCTCTGTAGCCACAAAGAATATCAAAAAGTTTATGGAAATGCTTTGAACGTTCGTAAATGTCCACGACGGTTCAGCAAATTTCGTTCAGGTGACTTTAGTCTTAAAAACTGTGATGGCAGGGGCTGACATGTTGGAATTGATATTGATGCTCTGAAGACGCTTGTTGTGTCTAACCCAAGGCAACACACTCGTGAAATGGCCCTGAGATTGCATGTGTCTCATGAAACAATATGTAAACATCTAAGGAATATGGGAAAACTCCATAAAGAATGTGTTTGGGTGCCTCACGTACTCTCCGATGATCATCGTTTCCAACGTGTGAACGTTGCTTCGTCTCTTTTGGCGCGTAATGTGCGTGAACCATTTTTGTACAGAATTGTCACCGGTGATGAAAAATGGATTCTCTATGCGAATATCAAACGCCAAAAACAATGGCTCAGTCCTAGACAAAAACCACTTCCGACCCCAAAACCTGGACTCCATCCTTATATATTAATGCGACTCGGTCAGCTGCTTCCCAGCATTTGTAGGACCTTATTTCCACTTCTTTGGCTGAATGTTGTAGTTCACGTCTACCTCAGATTTTGTTAATGTTCAGGACCCAGTTGGTATGATGTCGTAGACTTTGATTATTACTAGCATTATGGTTTTACCGTCTGGTTAATATTAGTTTCAACTTGTAAAATGTAGCACCCTCTACAGTTTTTCTTAAAAGTGAATGAAAAAGCTTATCTATTGGATTTAAAGCTGTTTTGTGATTAACTTGATCGGTTGTAATTTAATTCTTTTTTTCCAAGTATTTATTTTTCAATTTTCTCTATAGTTCGATGTAAACTATGAATACACTTTTGTGTTGGAGCAAACTTTGTATAAATACCAAACAATGCATTACTTCATGAAGACCAAGAAATTTCTAGAAAGAGTTGAAAAATGTATACTTTCCCACTAACATGAAAAATAATCCTGAACGTTTCATTTCCAGTGTAGTATATTTCCGATATATTCCATCAATAGGACTTTGATCTTTAGCCTTTGACATAGAATGTTCTATTTAGCCCCAGACAAATAAGTTTGTCATTTTAGCATACGATCTAAAAGTTTTAGCTTCACCCTATGAGACAGAACTTGTCATATAAAGTTTGCTGATGACATGTTAGTATCATTTGTTAGTAGTACACCATCATGTGGTCTTGTATGTTATTGATCAGTTAACAGTAAACCATCATGTGTTCTTGTATATTATTGATCAGTTAACAGTAAACCATCATATGTTCTTGTATATTATTATCATCTGTTAGTTGTAAACCATCATGTGTTCTTCTATATTAGTATCATCTGTTAGTTGTAAACCATCATGTGTTCTTCTATATTAGTATCATCTGTTAGTAGTAAATCATCACGTGTTCTTGTATGTTATTGATCAGTTAACACTAAACCATCACGTGTTCTTGTATGTTATTGATCAGTTAACAGTAATCTGTCTTGCCTTGTTGTTCTCTCATAATATTATGATAAACCATCATATCTTCTTTTTACGCTATATTAGTTGTTCTTGTTATGTTAGTATTATGTTATTAGTAAATCATCGTTCAGTATTTTGACTTACAGATATCTGTTAACAGTCAACAAGCCGCAGCCTGTTTCTATGTCTCAGTAATCAGCTAAATACTATACCCCATTCTTGCTGTTAATAATTTTTGTTAACTCCACACTCTTTACACATTGTTTTTAAAGGGTTTAACATTGTTATATTTTCCTGGTATAAAATAGCCCGTTACCAATATATAATTTGTATTTTTGTAAAGACATTCGTCTAATGTTGAATTTTGCTGTTTTTACTGAGTTAGCTCTGTTAAAAATACCAAGGCTGTCTTTTGTATGTTAGTGTCTTGTTTATTATCAGATAGTAGTTTCAGAGTTAGATTTTTTCCTATTTTAAAGATATAGATTCATTTAATACAGGCCTTGAATTTGTAAAGAAAGATGATTTAAAAACTGGCTTCAACTGTAGCTTCAGTGCCAGATTATACTATGAGTTTTAAGACAGATTTTTTTCTTTAACACAGACCTCGACAGTAACCTTAGTATTAGATTTTGTTTTGAATTTAAAGATAAGGCTGGACTTAATACAGGTCTCGATTGAAGCGTTATTGTAGATTTCATTTTAAATTTAAGGTAAACTGAATTTAACAGATTTGTTATTCATTTGTAGAACTTATTCAGATTTTAGTACATTAATTTTGCTGTACAACAAAAATAATTATTTGACACAATTCTGTTGTGGTTGATAAGCATGTTATCATCAAGTTTATGTCATGATTTGTTAAAATATATAAGCAGATGTAAGTTTTGTACAAATTGAGCTTTTCATCGCCTACCCTTAAATTGGAATAATGTGTGTGAAATGGTTATTGATAATACAATAGGCAATATTTCAAATCAAATACACAAATAGACAAAGGATTGTTTTGTAGACCAAAATAAGTTTATAAACTGTACACGCGTGATATCATATCGTATAACATTACTCAACAGGAATAATCACTGAAATAGATGTGATAATTAAAACTTTATTTCTATAGGTTATGTAATATATTTAATACCCAAATGTCTGTAGTGCATGTAAAATTTTACAAGCACCATATTTTACATTTGAACACTTAATACAGGCCAGAACATCAATATGATCTTTCTTCACATTTTGCCACATTCATAAGGTGCTGTAGAAAGTTAACAAACATCAAATTCCCTTTTATTTATATATCTAACCAAACCTTTCATTTCAGTACGTTTAATACATTTAGCAATACAACTTCTTCGAGCTTTAAGTAAAGCATACTACGCTGAAGAATATTAAAATACCATTTACTCAAGACTGTATATTATATTACACATTATTCATTCTATAGATGATCCAAAACACACAGAGATATTGCAATTCGTTTTAGGAACTTAAAAGGTTTTATATTTTACTTATACACATATCCAAGGTTTATTACGTGTTTTATAATATTTCATATTCAGTATAACAAAAATTAACATTTTAACTGATGAATTTACATATGCTTCAGAATACACCAAGATAAAGTAAAAAAAAATCAACTATTTACTTCTTTACAACAGGGTCCGCGATCTTATTAGGACCAATAAAGTATTACTTATTAAAAACACAAACAACCCCTTCTTTTTTTAGGGCTCATATAAAGGCGAATTGGATCAACAAGAGAAAATACGTTATCTAAGAGTTGTTGTTATAACGATTAGCTCTTTCCTGTAGCAAATATTATTAGGTGTTTATAGAGTGTCTTAGTAGGTTCTTGCTGATCAAGTACTATAGAAATGCCACTCGTAGTATACTAAAAACCTGCTAGTTGTGTGGAAGATTATGTTCTCGTGTTTTGGTTAAGTTAGTTACAGAGTTATGGCTGTCTATTACCTTTATATGTCAAGCAGAAGTACACACACACACATTTGGCTGTGGTAGAAAAACAGCAACAATAATTTAGTAAGAAATATCATACATAAATAGTTGAAACAAGTATAAACATTTCCAAATGTCACGATCTTTAGCGAATAAATATATAACTAATCTATAGTGTAGTCCTTAAAAGTATATTTTTTACATGTTTGTATAGCCTTTTCATTGACATTAACCCTTTCTTTTTTGCAATCTGAGGCCTTTTCAATGGATGAAGCACAAATATAATTACAACTACTCTTATTCTGGCCTCCTGTCAGCGGTAAGTTTACGGATTTACAAAGCTAAAACCCAGATTCGATTCCCCGCGGTAGACAGAGCGTAGATAGCCCACTGGACTAAAAGAGTAAACAAATTCTGGTTCCTTGCAGTTAAGGAAAGCTAGAGCCAAGCCGAAGTTATTAGTCTGTGAAGCTGGCCTGTAAAGTTAATAATCGGTTTATTCTCATTTTTCCTTATAAATGAAGAATTAAGTTTTTAACTGTCGAAATTTTATAAACCATCCCGTGATGTTTGTACTGTCCTGAAAAAGATAAAACTGTGTCATCTAACATTTCTTAAAACACTACTTTTGTGAGAGAGGTGTCAGAGTTTATTGTCACAATCAAAGAGTCATAATCTATTGCAGAAAAATAGCCAAGGTTTAACGTTACAGTGAAAATGGTCAAAGATATGTCATAAGCTAAAGGTCTAAGTTACACAGTACAAGCTAAAGGACAAGGTTATACGTAAGAGTGTGAAGGTAGAAGTTATATATTACAGAGTGTAAAGTCTTACCATCATGTTTTCTTGTATAATAGTAAGTATATTAGTATCATTTGTTATTGTGTTTTCTTGTTATTTTAGTAGTATGTTAACATTGAACGATTATGTGCTTTTGTGATTTTAATAGTAAACAATTATGTATTATTATGTTAGTAACGATTTAATAGAAAACCTTTATATGCTTGTTATGTTAGTAATATATTAATCCTAAACCAGAATGTGTTTTTTATGTTACTAGTTTGATAGTAGTAAGCCATTATGTGCTCCTCTCTTATGTTTGTAATATGTTAGCAATAAACTCTTATCTGTTCTAGTTATGTCATTGATAAGTCAACAGTAAGACATTATGTGATGTTCTTATGATAGTGATATAGTAACAGTTAACTATTATGTGCTCTTGTAATGTAAATTGTAAACGATCGTATGTTCTTATCTTAGTAATATATTTGTAGTTAAACAATTTTTGCTCTTGTTATGCTAATAATAAACCATTACTAGTGTTTTCAAA